ATATAGAGAGCCGAAGTCACCAACATGGAAATTTTGTCATATGGATATTGTTAATCTAATGTATTGAATTAGAATTCTTCTACGACTTGTACATTTGGCTAACACAAGAATACGTTTAATTGTATAATAATCGTTATTTGCGTCCACTTTTATGTTTTCTTTATTCTTTTGTAAGTTAAAACGATCAAATGGAGCTGCTGTATATGTTTCAAACCCAAGTGAACAATGAGAATAAATAACTTGAAGTGTGAGAGCGATTTCTGAGGAAGTTGTTTTTTAGGAAGCTGTTTTGAAGTGCATTTTCATTATGTCGAGACCGTGAGCATATTGAGAAAGAAAGCAAGGTCGATGAGGGAGCCACTATAAGTCAGGTGACATTTTGGAGGACCGTCGTTTATCCTGGATGTCATCATTAACCAGAAAAAAAAAAAACTCCGGCCAATGTGTACATTAAAAAAAAATATATATATATTGAACTCTTTTACCTTGTTTGAGAAGGCGCTTTTCCGCCGCAACCTAATTGGACAGTTCGATTGTGAATGAGACCTCCCGCGCACACTTATTATGACGCTATATTTGAGAGAACGAAATTAATATATATTATTTTAAAGTGATATATTGAACCTATATTAAATACAAACATAAAAGTAGTGATTGCTAAATAATAAAAAATATATTAAAAAAATCTAGTGGGTAATACAGACATGTAAAATTTAAAAAATATATAAACTATGTATCTGAGGTACCGAATTTAAGCAAAAATGAGGCTCCAAAAACTTAACTGCTATATGCAGAATATCAGTTAATAATAATAATAATAATAATAATAGTAATAATAAATCATTTAGTATTTTCAAGTGTTTTGTTTTACGTTTATTCTGAAAAAAAAATACGCCGCTGTATCAGAATAATTTCATTTCAACGAATGGTACAGAAATTCTGGAGTGTGTGCACTTATTACTGTCCTTTTTCTTATATTAAGCTTGATAACGCAGTTCGACGCCTCGTTTTCCGATCCTGAGACTTTCACGGGCGGACGCACGCGCACACACGTGCACACAGCCTCGCGCGCGAATAGACACAAGTATCATCGCGATCGATCTCTCGAAAAGATAAATGATTTGCGCAAAGCAACTCCAAAGTGTTTCAGCTCATCACTCGTGTTGGCGTGTCCTCCAAAAGCAGCGAGTGATCTCGCATTTCATTTCCTGTGGTCATTTTAAACGTGTTTGAAAATGACTTGCGGAGCCCTCTCGGTGATGACACCCCGCAACGATGATGATGGCTATCAGTGTGTCTCAATGGAGACCTCGGAGAGCCTCCATTTCCCCAAGCCCTCCACATACCTGGCAGCTGTATGTATATGTGCTATCATGCCGACACTCCAAGGGCGATCAGAGCCAATATGCACCTGACATTTGAAATTGGCCGCAACAAGTCTGTCTGGAGGGAGCTGGATAAGAGCATTAAACAACGACAAATGCATTCCTGGATGCACTTTGATGCTGCAAGATGTTTCGGATAGATTTTGTCCCCAAATTGAGGGCATGAATGAGCTGTCAACAAAGCTTTTGATGGTGGACCACATGAAATGAAAGTGGAGGTGAAGCCATTCTTTTCTCTTTTCAATGGCCATAGTTATGGCGCTCTAATAGGCTATGCTTGGTAATCACTGCCTATTGTGTCTGTTGCTTCTTTCACATTATTGTGAGGTGGACCTCTCTTTGTAAGGAAATATGAGTCTGACCCGGTACTGTAATTGCTGTTGGAAGCATCATTTCGGTCTGGAAAGTTTGGGGGTGACGGTGTCACTTCCACACTTAGCGCACGCGTTCATGGACACACACACACACACACACACACACACACACACACACACACACACACACACACACACACACACACACACACACACTATCTTGATGAAAATTCATTCCTCACACGCACATTCACAACTGAATGATACATTTCATCAAATTGCCTCTATTATATACAAAGCAGATATTTCCATAAAGGCCAGATGGACTCCATAGCTACATGCCTTAAATGCCACATTTAGGTTATTATAGAGTTTGATAAGACAAGGATAGTCTTTTTTCCACGCATGCAAAGGATTTTCACCGTCTATTCTTGTCAGGTAATTGCAGGTTGCACTCCATAATGTGCATGTCGTTTCTGCAACCCTGCAAGTCCCCACCCGCCCGCCCCCCTCTCCAAGACTCCCCCTAACCCCCTTCCCTCTCTTTATTCTACTTAATATGTCAGAAGGTCTGATCACAGAGGAACCTTTTCAAGTCCTATTGATGTGTTCCTCAATTGACCGTGGCGACCTAGCAACCTAGTGAGCGCTAATTGGCAAGGGCTTAACATTATTGGCTCTATAGTTTACCTACCAACATCCTTGTTCATATTTTTTTTTTGTGGTACTGGTCTTTGCTTGACAAAGAGATGCGAATATTGAGGCCGTCGTTCCCTCGAATAATTTCTTTCAGGCAGCTCCATTTTTGTATTATGTTCAATGAAAACGAACATGCCGCATTAACTGCTGAATTAGCTGTTAATTATTCGTTTCACAAATGCCAATTATGCTGGTTTAAAAACTTTTCAAAGGAAAAAGTGGTGTGTATTTTCTTATATAGTTTTCTCGTAACTAGGCGACTGTTGGGACATTATGTGAAGGATGTTATCTCAAGACTTGGTGAGCAGACCTCCGATCTTAGGAGATGCTACAAATCCATTGATGAATTGTTTCTTTCGACCGAGATGCAACTAGGAATCAATATAATAATTTAATGTTGAGAATTCTGACTATTATGTATAATTGATATGTCTTGTTGCTGCTGAGGCCAGTGGAGTGCACTTCTGGGTCTAGTTTTGATCCACACACACCTCCACTGATGTCAGCTTATTCCACCGTGTACAGAAGTTCAAAACATGCCGAGAGAGATTCTCCTCATCCAGCCATCGATTGAAGCAACTGCTGAGGAGAGCCAGTTTATGCAGGACAAGTTAGCGTCACTATTTCTGCATGACTTCAACATCGTTGGCTGTTTCATGTTGACAGGGATGGAGCAGTAAGATGGAGAGGCTTGACTTTGTTTGATATAGTGGCGGGGGGGGGGGGGGGGGGGGGGGGAGGTTGAATTTAGCCTCACTCGACTCTCTCTCAGCTGCTCTGTCTTTTGTTGTTGTTATAGTAAAAGGCATTTAATAGTTGCAAAAAGTTTTCCTTTTCACTTTATTTTATGCCATCTAAAGTAAGTTAATAGAAGCAATAGCCTGACAACAATTCATTGATCATTCCTTTTTCATGTTACACTCCGATATGTGAGCTTTGTTGCTTTTGGAAATTATAATTTTAATAGGATTTCCTTGTGAAACTTTTTTTTTTTGGATTGAGCTTGATAGAGCTCATCGGTTTGTGCAGTTTTGCCTAATGCTGTGACGGGTGATTTGAGATTGACCTCATTAATGCAGAGTGTGCACTAGGGAATGGATTTTATGAGAGGCAGGCAAAATTATTAGCATCTAAGTGAAGGTGCTAAATTGGAAAGTTCTGATTTGGGAGCGTTATGTGCGTTCTGTTACTGAGAGACAATCTTTCATGCATTAAAAAAAATGTTTCTTTCTTTCTTTTTTTTTTAATCTAGAATGTCTTAAAATGGAAAGGAAATGCGAGGCACATCATGAGAAGCGATCAACTTTGCTATTACTCTCTGTATGAGAAACAGGCATTGGATGAAGGATGGAAGAACTGTGTCAAGAGTGTGTGTGCCATGTGTGGTCGAGGAGGGGGAGCATCCCTTATTAGAAAACCATGTCACAATCTCTTCTGACTCGCTGTAATGCCAATAATCCCCCCCTCGAAGTCCCCATATGCATGTTTTTTAGTTGGCCATAAGTATTTAAAGAAACTGTTTTCAGTTGCCGCTAATAACTACTGACCTCCAGTGACATGGGCCAACAATGGGTTTGTCAGGCCTCAAACGCACAACCAAAGAAGCTGATTAGGAACTCAAGTGGTTTGAAGCAAGAATCAATGGCCGCTCTGTCCTGCCGTGGCGCTTCCAGCATGGTGCAGATGATTGTGGGACTTCCATTAGTTCTGCTTCATTAAGTCGCGCAAACTCTTCTTTAAAGAAAATGAGTTCAGACAATCCTACAAAAAGTCTATTGGGGCTGTGCGGCGGCGGCGGCTCCTGCTGAGAAGCACGCGCGCTTGAGACTGAAAGCAATAATATGTGGAAACTTTGCATTAGAAAAGCTGCTTTAAAATTATGCGGATGTTTCACTGAGTGCCTTAAAATTAGGTGGAGAGTGTGTTGATTTTATTTTTATGGCGAATCCCACATCACAGAATATTTATGGGCCAGCCCAGGCCTTGCTAAGCTTATATGCTAGCATTACTATCAGTGAGTTTCACTGAGTGCTTGGATTTTTTTTTTTTGTTTTTTGTTTTGACAAACTTTGCAGAATGGTTAGATACTGAAAATATAAGTAATGGTATAGTACTGATTCAAGATATTGGTGCGCTTGCCTGGTTAAAATTTGCCCTTTAGGATAAAAGTGATCATTCAGTGATCTGTGCAGCATTTATACAAACTTTCCCCACATGAAAAAAAAAAAAAAAAAATATATAAAAAAAATATATATATATAAAACTGACAAGACATGACGTTAAAGACAAAGAACAAATTAATATTCACAATATTTAATCAACAGTCCATTTGTGTTATATAATAATTGTATTCACAAAACAAAATGAGACAAAAAGACACTGCTTTAAGACACAAGGCCAGTTACATAAAAAAAAAAAAAATCAGAGATTGGTTACAGCAAATTACATTGTTATTACTTCAGGTATATAAAAAAAACAACAACACCCAAAAC